AGTCTCCAATTCTAGGTTGGGGCTGACTCCCAGGAGCCCTGTCTTGGGGTACCATGTGGCCTCCCACACTGACCCCAGGGCTCAGGAGTGACCATGCAGCCTGCCAGTATGCATAACCACCTGGAGGCATCAGGATTCCAACTAAGCTCTGGAGAGCATGGTGCCGGGGGATGTCATTCTGGGCAACCTCGGAAGCCACACACCAGGATTTGCAAAGGCAACAAACCCATGGATGACTGTGGACTTCAAAATAAGTAGCCGTGGGAGAACAATGCAGTCTGAGGGTTGAGCTGCAAAAACTCAGCCTACAAGGCCTTTGCGGGTCCTGCCAGTTCCCTCAGAGGGGCCCACGGTGGACTCTGCTTAGCATATTTGCCAGTCCAGAGAAATGGAAGAGAGCTAGGGCATGGGGTCCCCCACCTGGAGATGGGGCCTGAGCTGGGCCCACCCAGTGCCCCACTATGCCAAAGGAGCACAGGCAACAGAAAGGCACCTGTGCGGCTGAACGCCTCCACGCGGCAGGCCCAGGCCAGGGAGCACGTCCTGCCCTGGCCACCTCCCTGAGGACTCGGGGATTCTCTGAAAAGTGCCAGTCTCTAATGTTTAACTCTAGTTCTCCTCTTTCACGGGAAAAGTGTAGATCAGACTAATTAATGTGTTGTTGCTTGTTTACCCTCCTTTCATTTCCCTGAGACAAAATAATTAACCACAGAGCCTTAGAAATCAGCTCCATGGGTGGCAATCCCTTTTGTGTCTCCTGTGCCAGAGGCTTCTGTGCAGAGGCAGGGGCCGCATGCAGGAGCAGGGTAGGGGCAGCAGCTGGAAGGCTGTGGACAGGGGGACCTGGAGTCACTGGGAAGGGCCTAGGAGGGCAGTGGGGAGGGCTGGTGTTCTTGGGTCTGCCACTTCCTAGAGGAACACTGTGGGGCCACTCCTGCCCACAGGCTGCCAGTCACCTCAAATCCCATCGATGCCTGAAGAAGGACCAAAGGCATTCCTCTGGCCAGCCCAGGAGAAGCGTAAAGATCAGGCCTGGCCACTTACTGCCATTGCAGGCAGGGCTGTGGCGAGCTTGCCCAGGAGGTTTCTAGGGTCACAGCAGGAGTAAGGTGGGGGCCAGGGCAGCTGAGGAGAGAGTCTGTCTCCTCTACACCCTCCATAGCCCCATCCCAGCCAATAGCAGATCCCAACCCTGATGGGCCAGTGTCAGGGACAAGCCACACGGGAGAGCATGTTTTCAGAATTCCTTTAGGAACCCTTTGAAGTGAGTCTGCACCTGCCTCTGACCCATAAGGCCACACTGTGCAATACCAGCCAGTTCTGCTAGGAGGACAGGATAGACCGTCTCCTCCCAAATCCTTCTCCAAAAGCATCCTCACACCAGGGCTTGGCCTGTGCAGCCCACACACTGCCCATAGACTAAGCCTGACTCCTGGCATGGCGACTGAGCTCCAGTGCTAGACAACCCTGCTCGCCCCACCTCCTAGCCTCTGTCAGCTTGAGGCAGCAAAGGCCACTCATTCTTCAGTAGGTCACGTCTTCATTTGTTTTTTCCCTTCCCAAACACGGGGGCCATATCCTGAAGTCAGCCACAGACAGACACAGGTCCTGATAGAGCCCACAGCTGTTGGGAGGCCCCAGTATTAAGCAGCTCAGCATAGAGAAGGTGAGAGAGCTCAGCCCTGAGGGTGAGAAGCTGATAGGAGACGAGGGGGAAGGAGTGCCAGGCAGAGAGCCCCACGGTTAGGTAGCAGGGACACATCTGAGGTGCTAGAGGTCCTTCCTGCTGGTGGGGCACAGGGTGTGGGTGAGTGAGGGAAGAGCTGGTGGGATGAGAAGCACGAAGGGCCCCTAGACAGAGATTGGGAGACTGGACTTTGTCCCCCAAGACAATGAGACCACCAAGGGGAGAGAGAGAATCAGCTGTGTCTCGGAGGACCCTCTGCACACCGGCAGTGGGTGTGGGGCTGTGGCTGACGCTCAGGGCAGCAGGACAGCATCGGGGTGAGGTGGGAGCTCAGGTGAGGATGGTGCTGGCCCCGCTAGGCTGGTGACCTCAGACCAGAGAGATGAGGGAGACTCGGGAACTGGCCTGCTCCATGACACTGGGGCGATGTCCAGGTGGCCCCAGGAATCTGGCCTGGACTCCTACCCTGAGACCTTAGTGCCAACTGCAGGGACTATTGGTGCCTAGAGAGCCTTGGGAGATCCTGTCTCACCCCTATTGTCCCCACCGGGACAGGACCTGCAAGCTGTCCCTCCAGCTGCAGCTGGACCACAGAGACAGGTCCCTGCGGATGGCTCCGTGTCGCCTCCTATGGATGTCAGTGCAGCCAGTGTGAAGGCAGCTGGCTCCACACAGTAAGGGCTGCAGGTTTGCTGAGGGGAACCCTCTAGCCTGGGAGGGAGAGTGAGTGGGCTGTCACTCCCTCTGCAGGTTTGATTCATCTCGCAGCAATTGCTGGGATTTAAAGAAAGAATGAGGGAGTACATCCTGGAGTCTCCCAAACCAGATGGCAGGCGGGGGTGGACCTGGACACCCACCAGCCCTGCTGAGCACTGAGCCACGAGCACTGGCCGCAGAGTGAGATGCACATGTCCCAGATTTCACCGAGGCCCAGCGCGGAGCTGGTTTCCCAAGGCTCCGGGTCGCCTGGCTGTGGTCTGCGTAGACACGTGCTGCTCCGAACTGTACCCTTCCAGTGTTGGCTTCAAAGGCATTTCCCCTGAGGAGACTGACAGCCTTGTGAAGCTGCTCATCAAAACCAGACACAGCCCCAGCTCAAGTTCACCTTTAGACACTAAGTCCCAGAGATGGTAGCTGCAGGCTTGCCCTGGGGCTGCTGACATGCCCCACAGAAAGAAACCCCCTCTGCATGCCTCAGGTTGGTGGGAAAACAGCTGCCTTCTCTCTGCCTGGAGGCATCCAGTGAACCTCCCCTCATCCCCAGCTCCCGCACCCCCGCCAATGCAAGCCTGGGCCTCTCGGCTCCCCCTGTGCAGCTTCTTTCCAGAATCTAGGGGTCTGCTGGGCAGGTGGCCATATCCCATAGCATTTGTGTTATAGAACTGCAGAGACCGGGCCACTCTTGAGAGGGGTGGGAGCCACTGGTGGAGACACCTAAGCCACAGGGGCAAGGGGTCCAAAGGTCTCCAAAGGAGGGAATTTCTAAGTTGAGTCTTAGAAAGGGTGAGCAAGGCAAGGGGCAGAGGGATGGGGAATGGCAGGCAAGGACAGGACACAAGTGAGAGACAGACGTCCAGGGGAGGGGGCTGTAGAGACCCACAGGCCTGATGGAGGGGCGGCCTCCCCACTAATGGCCAAGGGATCTCCGATGGGTGTGAGGTGGCTGTGACATAGTGGACTACACAAGGCGTGACCCTGTAGCCCTTATGGAGGCTGTCAAAGTTGAGGAAGGGTGATGTAGTCCTGGGCCACCGCAGGAGGCCCAGTAGAGGTGGCAAGGACTGATGAGGACTGAGGGAGGGCAGAGTTGGGTGACACCTAGGTCCTTGGCTTGGGTGACCAGGGATTCAGGAGGAGGAGAGGGTGTGGGACCAGGATGGATGGCACTGTGGGCTCAGACTCCCCCAAAGCGCCAGGGCAGGAGCTGGACTAAGTCAGCAAGACAGTGAGTGGCCTAGCTGCTCTGGTCATGAAAAGTCTGGGTTATACTTCTACAGGCTCCCCCACAGAGTGATATCACACATGGGTCCCTGGAGGCTGGGCAAACACTCCAAGACACTTGTCTTTATTGATTTTACATTCAGCACAATAGATGCACCTGGCAGCCTTGCCCAGGCGGGGCTCTGCGTCTGCTCTGAGACCCACTGTGGCTCCCATAGGGGACCCAGGATGGACTTACTTAAGTGGCTGTGGGTCTCGGCTGGGCTGCATCTCTAAGGACATGAAGGCCAGTGGTTAAAGCTTGGCCCAGACCCACATGGCACCAGAGAGCTTCTCCAAAAGTCACAGGGACTGTCAAGGGAACTCTGATGGTTCTGGAAGTTGGTAAGGCCCAGGCTGTGCCTGGATCCTCATTGCCAGGGGTTTCTACTGCAGTCAGTGGAGTGGAAGCACGGAGCTTGGTGTGATGCCACAGGCTGGGACCACAGCAAGAGCCCAGTTATGCATGGAGGGGGCTGCCCTCCCCTGTGGGCCTGCCGGCCACACTGTCCTCTGCTCCAGGAGTCTCTGACCCCTTTGCTCTGCTGTTTGTTCCTGCTCTGTCCTTACCTTGCCGGTACTCTATGATAAGTGGCCATGTTTGTGGCTCCTCTGCCCCAGGGTCACCTGCCCTCCCATTCTAAAAATTCCCCTGGTTCCTGATGGGCTTCCAGTGGCCCCTGGCCAGGGTGGGCCCCGGTGTCCTCAAGGATGCCCTGCCTGCTCCCTTTGTACCCACAAATCTGTACTCTCTGAAAACCAGGGCCGTTTTTCAAGTAATTGGGCTACAAAGTCAAGAACGTTAGTTAGGGTCCAGGCACAGTGGCTCGTGCCTATAATCCCAGCACTTTGGGGGGCCGAGGCGGGTAGATCACGAGGTCAAGAGATCGAGACCATCCTGGCCAACATGGTGAAACCCCGTCTCTATTAAAAATACAAAAATGAGCTGGGCATGGTGGTGCATACCTGTAGTCCCAGCTACCCAGGAGGCTGAGGCAGGAGAATCACCTGAACCCAGGATGTGGAAGTTGCAGTGAGCTGAGGTTGTGCCATTGTATTCCAGCCTGGCGACAGAGTAAGACTCTGTCTCCAAAAAAAAAAAAAAGAAAAGTGAGGGGCATGTCACCAAGCTCTTTGCTCCAAGAGAACAGAACGCAAGGAGGAAACAGTGTGCTAGGGCTGTCTCCTGGATGCCTGCTAAGCCTGCCAGCTCCAGCGTGGTTCTCAGAACTGCCCTGCTCACACCCAGGGAAGCAGGAGTGGGAATGGCCCCATGTCTGACCCGCTCCCCTGAAGATCACTAAAAAAGCCCCCCTACTTTCTGTCTCTGCAGGGTCTCCAGTAGGCCTCGCCATGGCCCACCGAGGTGAACCATGACTGGCTGGCTGACACTTGCCATTGACCAGCTGGAGTTGCATCTCGCCAGGAGGTGACCCCTCCTCTAGCTGCCCCCAACTCACCCACCCTCGCTCAGGAAAGTGCCCGCAGCTGTCACGGACACCATGTAGTAGGGCCGGCTGCGGCGCCCAGTGAGCTGCGATGGTTTTGTACACGACCCCCTTTCCTAACAGCTGTCTGTCCGCCCTGCACTGTGTGTCCTGGGCCCTCATCTTCCCATGCTACTGGCTGGTGGATCGGCTTGCGGCCTCCTTCATACCCACCACCTACGAGAAGCGCCAGCGGGCAGACGACCCGTGCTGCCTGCAGCTGCTCTGCACTGCCCTCTTCACGCCCATCTACCTGGCCCTCCTGGTGGCCTCGCTGCCCTTTGCATTTCTTGGGTTCCTCTTCTGGTCCCCCCTGCAGTCTGCCCGCCGGCCCTACATCTATTCACGGCTGGAAGACAAGGGCCTGGCCAGTGGGGCAGCCCTGCTTAGTGAATGGAAGGGCACAGGGCCTGGCAAAAGCTTCTGCTTCGCCACCGCCAATGTCTGCCTCCTGCCCGACTCACTCGCCAGGGTCAACAACCTTTTTAATACCCAAGCGCGGGCCAAAGAGATCGGGCAGAGAATCCGCAATGGGGCTGCCCGCCCCCAGATCAAAATCTACATCGATTCCCCCACCAACACCTCCATCAGCGCTGCTAGCTTCAGCAGCCTGGTGTCACCGCAGGGCGGCGATGGGGTGGCCCGGGCCGTCCCTGGGAGCATTAAGAGGACAGCCTCTGTGGAGTACAAGGACGACGGCGGGCGGCACCCCAGTGACGAGGCTGCCAATGGCCCAGCCTCTGGGGACCCTGCCGATGGCAGCAGCCCGGAGGATGCCTGCATTGTGCGCATCAGCGGAGAGGAGGGCGGCCGGCCGCCGGAAGCTGAAGACCCTGCCCCCGGAGGCCAGGCCAGGAACGGGGCTGGCGGGGGCCCAAGGGACCAGACGCCCAACCACAATCAGCGGGATGGAGATTCGGGGAGCCTGGGCAGCCCCTCAGCCTCCAGGGAGTCCCTGGTGAAGGGGCGAGCTGGGCCAGACACCGGTGCTGGCGGGGAGCCAGGTGCCAACAGCAAGCTCCTGTACAAGGCCTCTATGGTGAAGAAGGCAGCCGCACGCAGGAGGCGGCACCCCGACGAGGCCTTCGACCATGAGGTCTCTGCCTTCTTCCCGGCCAACTTGGACTTCCTGTGCCTGCAGGAGGTGTTTGACAAGCGGGCGGCCACCAAATTGAAAGACCAGCTGCATGGCTACTTCGAGTACATCCTGTACGACGTCGGGGTCTACGGCTGCCAGGGCTGCTGCAGCTTCAAGTGTCTCAACAGCGGCCTCCTCTTTGCCAGCCGCTACCCTATCATGGACGTGGCCTATCACTGTTACCCCAACAGGTGTAACGACGATGCCCTGGCCTCTAAGGGAGCTCTGTTTCTCAAGGTAGGAGACCTTGGCCCAGCCCGAGGACTACATGCCAGCCTGTCCTGGAGTCACGCGGGGAGGCGGGCTGCAGCCAGGGAGTCTTCATCGTTGTAGGGGCTGGAGGGAGAGACAGACGCTGTCCTTCCTGGAACCGAACAGGAGGGCCCCAGCTTGGGGACAGGGTCAACACAAATGCAGGGACGAGTGCCGAGGCTCTGGGCTCAGACCCATCTGGGTGATCTTGGGCTCATTTCTCAGATTTCTGAGGCGCCATTTCCCCAACTGTAAAGTGGGGAGAGGGTGGGAGTGGAACAGAGCAGTAAGGGCTGGGAAGGGTTCTGAGCTGGCGCAAGAGTAGCAATGGTGGCTTTGGCGATGGCAGCTGTGACGATGGTGGCTTTGGCGATGGCAGCTGTGACGATGGTGGCTTTGGCGATGGCAGCTGTGACGATGCTGGCAGTGATAAAGTGAGGAAGAGCAGGATGCAGAGACCCTCTCAGTTCACATGAGTCAGAAAGACTAGTGCAGACCAAGCATCTCAGGCAGGCAGACCGGACCTTCAGATCTCCAGGCCGTGACACTGCCTGGCTCACTGAGGCTACCAGCTTCCCTGGCCTGGACCCCCCTCCCTCCTGGCTGTCATGCAGCTGCCCTGCCAGGCTGTCTGCCCACCAGCCGTGGTTTCGCTTCCATAGTCACTAAAGTGAATAATAATTATTTCTGCTAATTTGGATGCGATTGGAGGAGTTTTTAGGCCATGGTAATTTGGTCGTTATACATTATCTTCTACTGAGCCTGAGATGCTCAGAGTGTCGACTTTTGTTCTCTATCCAAAAGCCGCTCATGGTGCTTCCAGAGTTTTCTGAAGCATCATTTGGCCAGTGGACGCAGCACAGGGCTTTCTGCCCTGAGTCAGCAGCTGCTTTGGGTGTGGGTTCTGTCCCTTTAGGGTGAGATATGAAAAAGTGGTGGCTCTGCAGGAAGGGCTGCAGCTCAGACGCCTGCCCAGGGTGGGTTTCCTCACTTCCCAGTTCCCCTCCAGAAGCAACCACGCTCTGCCTGCCCAGGGAAACATTGGCGCGCAACTCGGCGCCTGCCAGGAGTGGCGGTGCTGGTCTCCATGGAGCCTGTGGGAGCCAGGGCAGGCAGCAAGGGCCCTGGCCCCCACTTCTGGTTCCTCGATGGCTCTTGTGTGGCTCTGCCAGGCCCAGAGTTGGGGTCCTCTACTCTTCATTCCCAGCAAGGGACGCTGAAATTGAAGTAACTCCTGACAGATAGATCCAACCTTCCCATTTTGGCATATGGTTCGTTGGTGTTCTGTTCCCTGGATATATTTTTGTCTTGGCAGCTGGAGTAACTTTCTGGGGAGAAAGGGGATGTGTTGTTAGGCCCAGGGTGGGAGGGTGTGCCCCTCACTCCCACCCTATTACAGGTGGCTCAGAGGCTGGGGCCTCCCCCACCCCTGCCCCAGCCCTTCTGCACAGATCAATCCACACATCCCCTCCCTCCTCCTTCCTCCATGGGGCACCCTCACCACTGTTACCACCGAGGTCAGCAGTGTCTCCCTGGGACAGCCCCTACTCTCAGGCTCTGTCCTCAAAGTTCTTTTTTTCTTCCTCTACCTTCTGGGTCTCACACTGCAATCTGATCTTTGACACTCCAAAAATTTTTTGTATTGACCAGTATTTTAAAATCAAGATATTTCACAGAAAACCCAGTTTGCAGCTTCTGTTGGCAGCCTCAGGCCTGCCACATCCTGCACTCCATGCGGCTGCACTGAGCTAGAGCTGGGGGTGGCTGTCCCGCAATGGGGTTTCCCAGCGACCACCATGACACCGGCCAGGAGTGAGATGCCACAGCCTCCAGTTCTGTCCTTACTGAGGCCCCCTTGCTTTGTCCTGGCCCAGACCTCTTCCCCCAAACCCCCAGCCCTCCATCTGGCTGCATCCGGGACACATGTCCGTTCACTCCCAAACCAGACCCAGCCTCTGCTGCAGGCTGCTCCTCTTCCAAGTTCTGCCATCCTGAAGCCAGACGGACCACCTTGGCTGCTCTGTCCTATGCCTGACCCATCCATCCCAGGCCCCTAGCTCACTTTCCAGATGGCCCTGGGTGCACCCCACATCTGCAGCTCCTTTGGCCCACGCCCCCTCCTCTGTGTCAGCCCACTGTGGTTTTGGTCGTCGTCCTCCTCTCCCCCTCCCTCCCCCTCTTCCTCATCATTGTCGTCTAACTCTTCCTACGCCCTCCACTACCTCAGGAAAAGTCTGAACTTCTCCTTGCCCCCCAACTCCCAGCTCCAGCTCTGCCCCAGCCACATCCCAGACAAGGGGCCCCCCGCACCCAAGGCCCCTGCTTGTCTTGGTCCCACACTGGGTGTGGCCAAACCACCTCACGGAGCTCCCTCAACAGTGGCCTGCACAATCCGTCCTTCCCTTTGTGGGCTCCTCTGCCCTCGTGCCCAGGGTCTTGTCAGTCCATCAGACAGCGCACCAGGACAGTGGAGCTGTGACATGCCTGGCACACGCAGACCCCAGCATCGAGAAGTGAAGGACAGGACCAGCCGAGAGGGGCCGGGACGCTGGAGGGACTCGCTGCAGAAGCCAGTGGTCCCCTCCTTCCTGGAAGGCCCTCCTGGTTTACCATGTGAAGACTTCAGAGCCTTCAGGGAAATGTGACTCTGCGAAGGAAAGGACTGGAATCCCTTTTCCTCACCTACAATTGAGCCTCATTCTGGACCTCTCTTCTGTTGACAGCTTTGCCTGCCAGGACTCAAAGGCACAACCTCTCATGTGATTGTTTTTGCAACAGAAACTTCATGAGCCAGGTATCCATAAGGCCCAGCAAATAATCAAGTGGATCTTGGCGAGATCACACAGCTGATGAAGAGGGAGAAGCAGGGTGGGGGGCAGAGGGCCTCGCCACTCCTCCCTCTGGCGGGTTCTCCTCGTGCAGGGCCAAGTCTGAGGCCTCCCTGCACATGCCCAGACCTGCCCGGGACGCAGCATAGGGCAGGTGACACCAAGTGCTGAGTGAGAGGCTGACACCTTAAGACCAACAAATGGGTGGCCAGGGAAACACCTGGCAAAGACACCAGCCCCTGGGAAGGCAGCACAGAACAACACACGACAAACAGATCCAACTGGAAGCTGCCCTGACCGTGTGGGCCTGTGATCCCAGCCCATGACTCAACTTCTGGCCTCAGTGTGTTCAGCGGCAAAAGTGGCATCACTAGTATGCGCCTGAGCGGTTTTAAGGACCCAGCAAAGTAATGTCCATGCACCCCCAGCAGAGCATGCCTGGCCTGAGATGATCCTCATGGAGGAGGAGCAGTTGTTGCCTGAGGATGGGGGCGTCAGCGCCATCATGTGGCCTTTTTTTTTTTTTTTTTTGAGACAGAATCTCATTCTGTTGCCCAGGCTGGAGTGGTGCAATGGCACAATCTCGGCTCACTGCAGTCTCTACCTCCATTCTCCAGCCTCAGCCTCCCGAGTAGCTAGGATTACAGGCATGCACGCCTGGCTAATTTCTGTATTCTTAGTGAAGATGGGTTTTCGCCATGTTGGCCAGGCTGGTTTCGAACACCTGACCTCAGGTGATCCACCTACCTCGGCCTCCCAAAGTGCTGGGATTACAGGCGTGAGCCACCACACCCAGCCTCATGTGGCCTTTTGAGCATGGTGGCTTCATAAATATTTTGTTTTGGCAGCAGGACCATCAGTGCTGCATGATCTCACAGAGCCATTCTGCAGGAGAGAAGTGGTGTACCCGTGAGTTTAGAAACCACCCCAAATCTGGACGGAACAGCCAGACGTTCTCTCCCCAGGTGCTGGGGAAGGAAGGCTGTGCATTGGGGTTGGGAAGGAGATGAAGAGCTGCAAAAAGCCAGGGGCAGCTGCTGAAGACCTCCAGATGGAGGAGATACCAGCCCGGCTGACTAAAGCAGCAAAGGATGGACGGAGCCGGCAGATGCTGTTGGAGCAGATGGGCTGTGACGTCCAGCCTGCTGTGAGCTCCACAGATGCAGGGCACCCACCCTGTGGCCCTTGGCCCTCAGCCAACAACTGGGACAAGCAGACTGTCCTGCCCAGCTACCTCCCTATTGCACTCCGAGTCTGGAGTCTCTTCATTGTGGGAAACCCAGTCTGGAATGGATTTGTACTGCTTGGGGAAGGCACAGGACGGAGGAAATCCTAGGGGCAAGGGATGAGGAGCCGGTGAGGGGCCTCTGGGGACAGGACTCTTCCGGTGTGGCCTCCAGCAGCTGTGCAGGGCATCTCCATGGCCATCCCTCACCTCTCCCAGGCCGGGCACCAATAAGGGCTCCAATAAGGGCTCCATCTTGCCCCCCCCCCAGAGTGGGGCAGTTACGACTTGCCCGTGGGGTACAGTGGAGATGCTCGTTTGTATTAAGCCAAACTTTGAGGGCCTGCCCGAGTCACCTGCCACCTGGCGGGTGGAAGGCTGCAACTTGGGTAAAGGAGGTGAGCAGGAGATCTGGGCAGAGGGGAAGCTTGAAGAGGCTGCTGTCACAGTGGGCTCAGGATTGAGCCGGGGGTACGCATAGAGCCAGCCCAGGACACGGGTCAGGGAGCTCTCATCTAAGATGGGACGACAGGGGACCACGGCCTATAAAGCAGATGACTCACCATGCAGCCAGAAAGCAACGTGGCTGAGAGGGCGGGAGGGGCAGGGTCTGGGCCTCTTACCGTGTGGGTTGGGCTCTGAGGTCAAGCCATGACACAGGGGCATCCCCAAGATTTCAGAGGGAGAGAGCACCAGGGTGTGACCAGCTCTGGGGTATGACTGAGGGAGGGAAGAAAGAGCCACAGACAGGAGTGGACAAAGAACTGGGAGCCGTGGCCATGCTGGTCACTGAGAGACTGCAGGGCCTGGGCCTAGGGGTAGCCCTGCTGTGGTTCAGCACTTCCCCCATGCCTTGCAAGGATGGCTGCCAGCACTCCCCACGCCACAGGCTCATCATTTCTTTCAGCATCCGCCTCCGGCCCGGGTCCATAAGCTCCTAGAAGCAGGACACATCCTGTCCTTAACCCGGGCCCCAGAATCTAGCCAGGAGCCTGGCTTGTGAGGGTCTGAACTTGTGGGTGGGCGGGCACTGCCAGTGTCCCATGCTCTCAGGGCAGCAGTGACTGGCAGGTGGCGGCACTGACCCCCTCCTCCCCCAGGTGCAGGTGGGAAGCACACCTCAGGACCAAAGAATCGTCGGGTACATCGCCTGCACACACCTTCACGCCCCGCAAGGTAGGGTTGCCGCTGCCCATGGTCTTCTAGGGGTGGGATCAGTGCCTCGGGTCTGGGGCGAACTTCATCATCCAGTCTCTGTGCTTCTGCCCTGCAGAGGACAGTGCCATCCGGTGTGGGCAGCTGGACCTGCTTCAGGACTGGCTGGCTGATTTCCGAAAATCTACCTCCTCGTCCAGCGCAGCCAACCCCGAGGAGCTGGTGGCATTTGATGTCGTCTGCGGAGATTTCAACTTTGACAACTGCTCCTCTGGTGAGGCTGGGCTCCTCCCCACTGGAGTCTCCCACTCTGGGGAGGCTGTGGGCTCAGTCACAGCTAGACAGACTTTGTTAGGCAGCTCAAAGAATTCCTGCTCCTGGAGAGCATGTGGGTGGAGTATTTAGCAAGACTGATTTCTCTGCCCCCTAGAAATCCTAGTACAGAAGAGCCCACGCTCTGCCTAGAAAGCTCAGTGGCCTCTTTGCTGGAGACAAATATGCCCTAAAAATGAACCTCTGACAAGGAAGGCTTGGGGCCTCTGAAGCAGGCGAAAGGCGAGTAACACTCATCAACGGGGCGCTGCGCTCTCACTTCGAGCCAGCTGTGATTCTAATCGCTGTTCCACTTAAGTCTCTTAACAACCCTGATAGGAAGCACCGCATGTCTCCACGGGGTGTGGAGAAGGAAGCTGATACTCAGGCTGCAGAACCGGCCCAAGGTCACACAGCCAGGCAGTGATTGCACTAGCATCTGAACCCTGGGAATCACGCCTTAAACCATAATGGCTAAAAGACTATAATAAGCTCATCAGTGAAACTTCAAATACTTGCTGTAAATAACTGATCTCTGAATCCAATCACCATACAAACCTTGTGGGAACCTTCTTTCCTCTGTCTGAGGACAGTGGTCACTGTCACTGACCTCAGAGGGAAGGCTGAAGACCAGGGTGTGTGCTGGGGGTGGTGTTCCCAAGGAAACAGAAAACCAGTGACAAATGAAGCATGAGCCACCTAAACTGGGATAGAAATCCCACCCAGGGGGAGTGACCTAAGGGATGGGGACCTGGGCACACGGGGAATAACTGATGGGAAGCAGGGGCACAGGCCCTGCAGGACAGCAAAGCCCCCTGATGCCTCAGCGTTTCCTCCCTCCCCATACAGACGACAAGCTGGAGCAGCAGCATTCCCTGTTCACCCACTACAGGGACCCCTGCCGCCTGGGGCCCGGGGAGGAGAAGCCATGGGCCATCGGTGAGCTGCAGCTGGGCTGGGGGAGGTGGGTGGCAACTGGGCTCCCCACGGGCTTCCTTCAAAGACCACCAGGACCTGCTCCCAAGATCTCACTGCCGGGGAAGGGCCCCACTCAGCTGCCCCTGACTAGCAGAAGCCCTTGCCCATCCACAGAGGTCACCCCCGTAGAGGTTGCCTGGGCCCTGCCTGCAGCGATCGAGTTGCCCCCTTGTCCCCCACCCCAGGTACTCTGCTGGACACAAACGGCCTGTATGACGAGGATGTGTGCACCCCCGACAATCTGCAGAAGTAAGCACCATGCTTCCAGGCCTGGGACGAGGCACTGAAGCCCTGACTCAGGTGGAGACAGGGACTGGGTGGGAGCCACATGGGAGAGCTCAGCTTGGGCTCATGAGGGCTTTTGTTTGACAGGAACCTGCCCCTCATCCTGCCTTTGAGAGCTGGGAGCTGGGCCAGGCAGGTGGACCTCATGTCCCCCACCCAGGGGGACTGGCCTTCCTAAATCTCTAAAGGGTGTTTCCTAAACCTCACTTGGCAGGAGCCAGCCCTGCCCTGGGCCCCTGCCTGCCAGGTACAGGAAAGGGCCTGGAATTTCCCAGGGCCCTGCCAAGGGCCAACCCCTGTGGAAGAGCCACTGTGTGTATGGCACCTGCTGAAGGGAGCCTGGCAGCTTGCAGCACCCATCAGGCAAATACAGACACCAGCGGCAATAACACAGCCAACCATTTTCAAAGTAGAGACAGTTCCATCCCAGCCAAAACTCGTTCTTGAGCCCAGTGAGATACCCATAAAGAATGCATGTGAGAGGCCAACATCAGAACCAATTTATAATTCACAGCCTAAGACTGCAGTCACGGCGATAGTTCCTTGCAGCTAATTTGAGCCAATTAATTAGATTATAGACTAAATTTGAAACATCATCCTATGCCGAGAAAATTTTTTTATGAGAGGATGATTAAAAAATGACTACCAGTAACTCTCAGATCATTAATGCTGGAATTAATTATCAAAGGCAAAGGACAGTGATGGATTCCATTTCTGGGCTGTAACCATGTTCTGAATATCATTAATGTATTTATCTTAAAGCTGATGAAAACCTTGTGGAAGCCCATGTTTGCAGGCCCTGCCTCTCCAGGTGCCCCTTTTCCACCCGTGCAGGTATTCACTGACCTGGCAGCCTGTTCGGGGTCTCTCTGTCCTGCTGCACTTCCCGTCTCAGACGCTGGCCCAAGCTGACCCTCTGCGATGGGGGCTCCCAGGAAGGGGTCCTAAGACTCTGGCCCAGAGGTGCTGAGGCCCCAGGTGACAGGATGGCAGGAAGGAGACAGGCACACTGCTTGTCTCAGGGCAATGATGCCAGAAAGGGATTTGATGTCACAGGCTCCTGCTCCTGTGCCCTGCCCTCCCTGTGGACCCTCTAGCACCATCATGGGTTTCCTCTCAGAAGCAGGATGACAGCCTGTGCCCTGAAGAGTGTTGAGGCCCTCAGCAACCGTTCTCATTTCAGAGGAGGAAACAGGGTTGGAGGCTCGGTGACATAAGTGAGTCACGTAGCCACATAGGGACAGCCCCACATGAGCGTCCTTGGAGGTGCTCTCCTGGCTCCCTCAGCCCTGTCAACCCAGGAACAACAGTCACAGGGGTGCTCAAGACTCATGGCATAGACCAAAATAGGCCCACTCTTGGCTCAGGGCAGAAGCCCATTCTAGGGAATGAGTGGAGTCAGTTCTGTCGAAGTTCAGAAAGGGAAAGTGAGTGCTGGCCAGGATGGGGTGGACGGAACACCCCGACGGGCTCCGGAGCCCTGTTTCAGCCAGAAACTGCAGGCTGACTCGGCCTGCCCCCAGCCAAGGCCCTTTTTGGACCCGCAGGAGAGACAGATCTTAAACACAGAGCTTTGGTTGGGCCCACCTGCTCCCACCCTGGGATGAGACCATGGCTCCATAAACAGCCCCTGCCAGGCCCAGGGATGGGCATGGAGACTCACCTGCCTCCTGCGTGTGTGGACAGGGTCCTGGAAAGTGAGGAGGGCCGCAGGGAGTACCTGGCGTTTCCCACCAGCAAGAGCTCGGGCCAGAAGGGGCGGAAGGAGCTACTGAAGGGCAATGGCCGGCGCATCGACTACATGCTGCATGCCGAGGAGGGGCTGTGCCCAGACTGGAAGGCCGTGAGTCAGGCGGGCCCAGGCTGGGCCAGGAGAGGGCGGGCCGGGCCCTGCAGCTCTCAACAGTCGAATCCCTGAGACCTCATGCCCCAGGCCGCTCTTACAATGACACCCGACACTCCCTCAGACCCTTAGGGCCCCAGATCCTCCAGGCCTCATCCCTCTGACTGCAGGAAGGTCCTGGCCTGGTGCCTCACTTTTAGGGATCCCCAGGCCAATTTCTGCAGGATGCCCTTGGGATCTCACCAGGCTATTCCTTCCCTCTCCCACTCACCCCAGGAGGTAGAAGAATTCAGTTTTATCACCCAGCTGTCTGGCCTGACGGACCACCTGCCAGTAGCCATGCGACTGATGGTGTCTTCGGGGGAAGAGGAGGCATAGACCATCCGGAGCAGTAGGGCCTCTGCCAGCCCTTGGAGCCGCAGCCCATCCCTGGGCCGTGTCCCCTCCATTGAGCGCCCAGAGCTGGGGGGAGGTGGGCAGGGGCAGGGAGGGAGTCACAGTCAGTGCCCGGGAACCTGGAAGCTGCGCTGTTCTGCGCCTCTGGGCCTCACTGCGGACAGAGGAGTCCTGCCAGCCCGGGGAGCCCCCGGCTGCCTAACAGTGCCATTCTTTCACAACGAAATTTTCTACAAATCTACAGCACAACCAAGTTTGTAACCTGTGGGTTAGTATGAGGACCGGGTTCATGTATTCTCTCTATCTCTTCTTAAGCTTCGTCCAGGGTTCTTTATTTTTGTCTGCTGCCAATGTCGTCTCGCATGCCTGCACCCTCGCATGCACGCTGCCCGCATGCCACGTGCCATGCCATAGTCACAGACCCCTTGCTTGGGCCTCACCCAAGGCCAAACTCCAAACAAACACAACCAGAACTAGCCAAAGAAGCACTTCCTGGGCAGGGCTGCTAGCTCTCCCGCCTCCAGTGTGGGCCGGCTCCCACAGGGCCCGAAGGCTACATCTCAGTCAGCCTAGGGCTCCTCCCAGGGTCTCCCATTCAAGGGCAATTACATTTTAAAAAGAAAAACAGAAAAATGTTTATCACAAAATCAACCCTCACTTCACAGGGTCTGTAAGCCACTCACCGAACTATGCTTTTCCCGAGAAAGGGTCCCTTCCCAGCCCAGGCAGAACAGGGTTGGGCGGGCTCTGATGCCCAGGGCCTCCTCTTGGGAGCCTCCTATCTGGGCAGTGGAGCCATAAACGGAATCAAGAGGGCATCCACTTTTTTACAGGAAGAAGAGACTCATGCATAAAGCGGGTGGGGGGTTCCTGATTTTGAAAATAATTGATTTGTAGCTTCTCTTCTATCAAAACCAACACATCTTTCTGCCAATCCTCTCTCCCCTCCGGACACCTCTCTGGTTCGGGACCAATCCCTCCTTGGGGACATGCCCCACCCGCGAGCCAGCTGAGCTCAGGAACCCCTGCCTGCCCCTCTGGCCTTCCAGGCCCATCCTCAACAGCTACCCCAGCCAACATTAAGGCCACAAGGGGAACCCAGCCTGAGGCAGGAAGCCAGGATGCAGAGAGGAACCTGGCCCCTCACCACTGTGCGGGCTGGGGCAGCAAGGCCAACAGTCGCCGCTTTACCGGGGCAGGGCGTGGTACTGGCACCCAGGTTCGGCATGGCAGAGCTGGCCAACAGCCTGTGGTCCTTGATCTGCCTCCAGTTCCAAGAGGCCTACAGCCCCCGGCACTGCCTCTGCCCACCTGCCTTTAACAGACTCCAGGGCTGTTCCTGCCATGCAGCGAAGGCTTTGTCTGTTTCAAAGTTTGAGACTCAACTTGAGGGACTGTTTTTGACAATCCCCGCTGACCTTCCCTCCTTGTGGTGCCCTGATCCTGCACCCAGCCTGGCCCAGGGCCAGCTTTGCCTAGCGAGGCTGGAGGGAGCACCAGGACCTGCTGTCTGCTGTCAGCCCCTCCTGGTGCTGGTGCCCTGTTGCTGTGCCTTGTCATCCATTAAGCTGCAAGAGGGACCAAGAGAGGACCACGCAGCCAGCCAGACGCCTGGCCCTGTGCTGGGGCAGACAACGCTGCAGAGCCCAGGAAGCCTGGCCCTAGGACGTGTGTCCGTGGTGACACTGGCGTGTCTGAACCCACCTGGCCTGGAAGCACCATCTGTGCCCCGCCCCGAGCCCCACCCCCTCCAGTCCACAGCCAGGAAGGGGCTGCTGAGGGCGAACGTCCTGCGCGGTTCTCTGCCCAACCTGCTCCTCCAAGGGTCTGGCCTTCATGCTGTGGAGCCACCCCCACCCCGCTGTACACTACCAGAAGCAGCTGGGACTCTGCTCACACAAGCAACTGGGCCGGCCCTGGACCGCTAGACCCCCTGAGCCGCATGCCAGCTGCCTGCACAGGGAGAGCAGCTGAGGCCCAGGCAGGGCCCCCACACCAGACCCCAGAATAGCTTTCCCACCCAGGCACCTCCCCTCCGGAGGACAGCAGGTGTGGGAGTCAGGGCTGCATGCTCCTCCCTTCCCACCTCACAGGTGGCCTTAGGCAAGTCATTCTGTCATCACAAGGTCGCCTCTGCCTAGCCAGGTCCTGGCGACCAGAGCAGGACCCAGGCCCCCACACACCTCCCTCTGCGCCAAGGCCAGGACCACCAACCACACGTTTCATCGTGGCTGCCTGTGGGCTCCCAGGGCTTGCATACAGGCCAGGCCTGTCTATTGATTTTTAAAAGTGAAACTGCTGGATCTCAGATTCTGTGACATCTAAGGCCGAGCAAGGGTGGGCACGCAGGTCACCCAAAGCCCACACCAAGGCTCTGTGCCTGTCCTAGGCCCCAGTCAAGGAAGCATGAGGCGGGGGGGGATCCGCTGAGGAAGGAAATGTTCATTTTCATTTGTCCAAAACCACCTTAAGTATATTAATCTTGATGCTTTTTAACTATTGCTTTTTAACTTGCTGAGATTTAGAAATACTGTTATAAAAAAAACTTTTTTAGTTTCTGTATTTTTTTCTGTATTGTATCTTCATGGGACATTAGGGGTTTTCTATGGTAAGCACACCTATGGTTTTGGTAAAAACATTATCAAATACACATCCAGACGGTTCTTCCCTAGAAGAAAAGCAATCTTTACACCTGATAAAACATTTTGAAAAGAGAGGTGTTCTTTTTCCTTACTGGTGCTGAAAGGAAGGATGGATAATGAGAAAATAAAACTGTGAGGCTTGAGGCTGTTCTCCACTTATTTCACGACTAGCTGGGGCCAGGCCTCAAGGGCACACCTGGGGGCAGGGGATGGGCACTACCCACGTCTGCTCTGAATGCAAGGACACCGGGACTCTGCTCAAACAGGCAGCTCGCCTGGCCTGGAACAAGCCTCACCTCCTGAGCAGCGAGCCGGAGGCCACTCAGTTCTTTCACTTGGTGTCTGCTGTTACCTCTGAGAGCTGAGACACAGCCAAAGGGCGTCATGTGGGAGAAGCCAGGCCACGGCACTTCAGGCCTCTCTGGCCCCGAGGTAAAGCAGGGCTGGACGGGGGCTGCTCCAAGCCATACTCCATCTGCAGGAAGGGCTTTCCAATCCGAGGGTGGTACAGGAGACAGGGCTGCCTCCCGGGTCCCCTTCCTGACAGCTGCTTTCCTGGGCCTGCGTCAGGAACTGCTCTGGGACAGCTGCCTGGTGTCCAGTCTCAGGTCCTGGCAAGCCACCAGCTGGTACAGCAGTGAGGCCAGACACCTATGGATGTGGCTTGAAGTTACCTGGCCGGTGAAAGGGCCAGAACCCAGGCCTCTCAGCCTGGGTCTTCAAGCCCCAGAGACCCAGCCACAACTCAGTGTCTCCACACTCCTAGCAGAAGCCAGAAGAGCAGGGACCAGGGGATCCCTGAGTGGGACAGGCAGGACAGGCTCCCACATGGGCACTGCTCACCGAGGGCGGCATGGACAACCTCACCCCGCAGCCCCACAAGCTTCCCCTGCTTCTACCCCCTCCCCAGTTAGGGAAAGATGTCTCTGCCTTCGAGCTTTCTCAGCACCTCAGAAGCACAAGCAGGGGGATCTCCTCAGCCCCTCCAGGGCTCCAAATTCAGTCATCCGCTCATGCTCCCTGCCACAGCTGGAGCCAGAGGCCAGCAGTGCAAACATGCAACACAGCAAGGCGTCTCCCGTCCCTGAGGCCGAGCAGCTCCCGGAAGGAGAGGAGCATCTTCAGCCTTCCCCTCAGAAAGCCCGGAGCCACTTTATTGCCCAGGAGCAGTCAGTTGGGTGTCTTCGAGCCTGAATTCCATGGTGATGTCGCCGGTGTCAGGGTGAAACTCCACCACATAGCTGACCGTCTGTGGGCTGCCCAGCGGTACCCTGGGATCTGGGGCAGGGCTGAAGAAGTAGACGGCCTGCTTGCAGTGGGGGTTCCAGCAGCAGCCCCCCTGTAGGAAGAAGAGCAGGAAGACAGTGAGGGCTCCCTGGCACCTGAGCCTCCTTCCTGGTCAGCCTCTAGCCCAGGCAGCTTGCAGCAAAGAGAAGCTGCACAGAGGCCAAATGATTCAGGACCATTAGGGGGTCATCATCTAGCCCGAAGAACTTGTGACAGAAACACTCAGAGCATGGGGGCAGAAAAGCCTCCCCAGAGGGCGCCTCTCTCAGGGTCCACACCCATTCTGGGCCCAGCACGTGGGCACTACCTCGGGGTCCACAGGCTCCAGGAGACCAGTGCTGAGCATGCACTCCGGGGTCAGGTGGTACTCCATCCACAGCACTGCCGCATGGCTCTGCCCAGGCCTGCCAGAGAGAGGGGGGCCCAGAAGAAACGGTCACACAAGAAGCAGGGGGCATGGCCACAGCTCCTGTGCTTTCCAGAAACCTGTGGTCTTTCCTACTTCCTTCCCACCCTGCCAGGAGCTCCTAACACTGCACCTAACTAAACTCCCCTCAGAAAAACCCCAGCCAGTACAGCCACAGCCAAGCCCCGACCTGAGCCGCCCCAAGCCCTGTAGCCAGGCCACACATGCGGCAAGGCCAGCATGGCTGCAGGGTCCAGGGGGCTTGAGGCACAGCCTGGCACTGAAGGCTGGAAGGCCCCTCTGATACCATGGACAGCACCCTGGGAGTTTGGGCACCAGAGCAGGGCAGGGCAACCTATGCCTGGACCCAAGCAGCACTCGCTGACCCCAACTTGCTTCAGCTCCCAGGAGGGTTAAAGAAAATGGTACATCAGTGACTACAGGAACCAAACCCCCATCTTCCTGAGTCGTGATCCAACAAGGGAGCCTCAGCTGTAGGGGGGTGAGTGGAGCCCTCCCTGGCTCCCCCCATACTGGCACACACAGGACCGTGGGGACCACCACATGCACAGGGGCGCTCTGAGAGAGAAGGGCAGGGTCGTGCGTGTCAGCATCTCCCAGGCCAGCTGCTCGCCAAGGGGACGGGAATTCCGAGGCCAAGCAGCAGCCCCTCCCTGCCCCGCCGGCCTTCCCTGCACCCACCTCCGGAGCTCCACAGTGCCCTCAGCACGCAGGGGTTGCAGAGGCACCAGCTGCTGGAAGTCAAAGGCCAGGATCTGCCAGGGTTCAGAGAGGCTGCGGCACGGGTACTCCCACAGCGGGTGGGGCTCTGCCTCCCTGCTCTCCCTGAAGTCCAGGGCACGCTGTGAACAGAAGTGGGCCTGGAGGCTGCAGAGACACGCAGCCGGCCAGAGAGACCTCCTCCTCGGCTTGGCTCCCACTGACTGCGGTCACAAGGGGTGTGTGTTCTCCCATAAAGATGCCGAGCACCCAGCAAACTGGCGGCTCCCCGTCTCTGCCACTACTCTCTCGGTGGCTCCATAGGCACCCCTCACTCTGAGCCTTGTTTTCCAGATTTTTAAGATGGGGTGGTGCCACCTGTCAAGCTGTTCTGAGGACCACATGTCTACATCAGTGGTGAGAACACCCAGCACCTAGAAACTTGGTGACCACCACAGCTGTGTGGCCCTGAGAGGTGGGCCCTAGGCCACGGGGAGGGATAAACACGTGACAGAACAGCCCTGGTGCCTGGTGGCAGGCAGGTTGGAAGCACCTGCATCCAGGAGGGACGTAGAAAGCTGCCTGGAGGAAGGAAGCTGGCGGACAAATGGGGGCGGGCAAATGGGAGCTGGCAGAAGCAGGGCCAGAGGGGCCTCAAGGACAGAGCTAAGCCAGGAGAGCAGGCCAGGGCACCCAGGCCAGCCAGGTCACTCTGCTGGGGTGTTTGGGGAGCTATCTGGGGCATTCCCGCAGTGGGGACTTGGCCAGACTCAGATCTACAAGTTCACGTGGGCTCAGACTAGGACGGCAGCAGTGAGGGGCAGCCTGGGTCGGAGGCTTGCTGGGAGCATGAAGACCAACAGCTGGGAGCATGAAGACCAACGGCAGGGAACAGGAGAATTCGCCAGGGATGATGCACCCAGGGCCCTGGGCCTGGCTAGTTGTGTGAAGCGGCACCAGGTCTAAGACAGGGCACTGGAAGGGCCAGGCTGAGGGTGGCGAAGGGCAGGTGAATTTGGAAATCATAAAAGCAAAAATACCTGGCACCCTCCAAAGGACACCCACTGCTCTCAGCCATCTGTGTGAGCACACAAGAGACGGACACTGGCCCTGGACCAGAGTGGAAGAACCCTATCAGCAAGAGGGGACAGGGACAGCCAGGGCCAGGTCAAGAACAGGGGCCCAAGGGAGGCGTAGAGCACACAGATCCAGAGCACGTGGCGCTCGGCACAAACGAGATTTCTAGAAGCATGCAGCAGTCAGTGGTCTGCTGTGAGTGGCAGGTAAGATGCAAACTGAAAACATCCACTAGGTTTAATTTACTTAAAAAAATGTTCCGGGCCGGGTGCGGTAGCTCAGCCCTGTAATCCCAGCACTCTGGGAGGCCGAGGCGGGTGGATCACAAGGTCAGGAGTTGAAGATCAGCTTGGTCAAGATGGTGAAACCCCATCTCTACTAAAAATACAAAAATTAGCTGCACATGGTGGCATACACCTGTAATCCCAGCTACTCGGCAGGCTGAGGCAGAGAATTGCTTGAACCCGGGAGGCAGAGGTTGCAGTGAGCTGAGATCGTGCCACTGCACTCCAGTCTGGGGGACAGAGGGAGACTGTCTCAACAAAAAAAAAAATGTTCACATAGGCAATCCATGTTCACTACAGGCAAATGTGAACAGAAAGGCGAGCAGAGGCAGAAAAGCCCCACCTCCCGATGCGCAGCTATTACGGCGGGGCTGCTGCTCCCCGCTCCTCCAGTGTCCGTGAGATTTCTCTTTCTTTTTTTGAGACAGCGTCTCGCTCTGTCACCCAGCCTGGAGGCAGTGGTGGAATTGTAGCTCACTGCAGCCTCCACCTCCCAGGCTAAAGCCATCCTCCCACCCACCTCATCCTCCTGAGTAGCTAGGAATACAGGTGTGCACTACCATGCCTGGCTAATTTTTTGTTATTTTTTGTCTTGCTATATTGCCCAGGCTGGTCTCAAACTTCCAGCCTCAAGCAACCCACCTACCTCAGCCTCCCAGAGTGCTGGGATGACAAGCAGGAGCCACGTGCCCATGCTCCTCAGCCTGTCTGTCTCGGGTGATGGAACAGGACTCTCAGCTTCAGCCCTCATGAATCCAAGGACAGTCCATGGTTCTGGGGAACGCAGGCCCGGTTGCTACTGTTCAGGGCTCTGCCAATCCCTACCATGTAAATAACATGTGGGACACTTCTCACATACCCCTCCCTGGGAATGGAGCCTCCACTGTGAAAATGGCTGCCTAAGAAGGTTTCCAGACTGCCTCTGGAAAGGCTGCTCCAAGAGAAAACAAGCTGGGGTCACTGGCAGGGGCAGTTCCAACGACAGGATGTACAGGCCTAGTGGAGATTCTGACTCAGGGTGACAGCACAGAGCCAAGAACAGGCCTGGTACCAAGCAATGCTCATGGTGAACCACACAAAATGGCAGCACCTGACCCCACTGCCCACACCAGAATAGCCTGAGCTGCCCAAGCCAGGTCCCTGGCAAAGGACGGCACCACAGGAGAGGGTGGGTGGGACTACACAGTCCCTGCCTACCTTAATCATGTCGTCCATGATGTGCACATCGAAGCCTTCGCAGTCACCACAGGGGCTCCGGATCCGCCACAAGTCCTGTGAGGAAGGAGCAGCCCTGTCAGGACACAGGAAAGTGTGGCAGCAAGAACAAGAGACACAGCTTGCTGTTCCCTGCCCAAGTATGAAGGGGCTCGGAGAGACCAAAGATCCAGGATGGTTTCTGTAACAGACTCAGTCGGGCAGGAACCTGCAAGCTCTGGCGTGACACCAGAGTCCTCTCCGATGAGACAGCCAGAGCTACCAGGCTGGGGGCTGCACACTCCTGCCTAGGCCATGCTGAACACCATCTCTCTGGGAAGGAATATGTAAGCCAGCTCTCCCCCCAAGGATCATCTCCATTTCACGGCGATGCTGGGGAGAGAAAAAGGCCTGGCCAAGAGGAACCCAGAGGACACTCAGCCACGCGGCCCTCCCTCCCTTCCTCCTGGTATAACATGCATGAATGATGACATCCCCTCTTCGGCTGTGGAAATCTGGTAAACAGGTAACACAGGAGCAATGTCCAGAAATTAAGTGATGGAGCCACTAAGCTACTAAGAGAGAAACCACTCTCATCAAATGAGATTCACTCTCCATCCCAGGTTAAAGCTTTTCAAAATCCTTTTAATAAAAACGCGGTTCCCAGGACGGGCGCGGTGGCTCATGCCTATAATCCCAAACCTTGGGAGGCTGAGACGCGTTGATTGCCTGAGGTCAGGAGTTCGATACCAGCCTGGGCAACATAGTGAAACCCCGTCTCTACTAAAATACAAAAAATTAGCCAGGCATGGCGGCATGCACCTGTAGTCCCAGCTACTCAGGAGGCTGAGCCAGGAGAATTGCTAGAACCCAAGAGATGGAGGTTGGGGTGAGCCGAGATCGCTCCACTTCACTCCAGCCGGAGCAACAGAGTGAGACACTGTCTCTACATTAAAAAAAAAAAAAAAAAAAAAAAAAAAAATCCTTCCAAAAATGACTTTGTGACTGTGGTTCTTTGATGAGAAAATTAAAAGGAAGCTTTTCCATTTTTTTCTTGCATAAAGCATCTGACTCTTCCATCTCAAAATGCTCTGAACTGAAGCCTTGGCTCTTAATGAGAGCAGAACAGACCGCACCGCATGGCTTCTGAAACGCTTAATTTATAATTTTTAATTATTCTGATAAGCCACAATTGTAAAATGACAACACTCGGCCATTTCCATTTCATACATCACATTATTGCATTTTGAAAAAGGCAAGCATCTTCTATTCAACCCCACAGTGTGCTGACACAGAAAAGAAAAAACAAGCTCAAATCATCAACGCCCGAGTTGCCCTACAGGCACCCAAGGTTCCTGCAAGAAAACAAGGTTCCCCTCCGGCTTCCTCTGCTTTTGTTTTCTGCAACACCCCCTGGGTGACCTACCCTGAACTCCACAACCACAGCGTGCAGCGAGGCTGCCTGGGGCATCACCACAGCACCTGGCCCCAGGTGCTGGTCCACAGTGGTCCGAACATACCAGAAGTAGAGGTTGTGCCATGGCAGCAGGCTGGTGGTGAAGAACGGCTCACCCAGGAGGAGAGAGACCTGGTAAGCAGGGCGAGAAGCAGGGCCCAGGTATTAGGAGGGCTCAGCCCAGGAGAGTTCACAGGAACAGAGAAGCAACAGGCCACTCAGTCACTCAAGTAATTCCCTCCCTTCTCTCCCTCCCTCCCTTCCTTCCTTCCTTCCGTCCTTCCTTCCTTCCTCCCTTCCTTCTGTCTTTCCTTCCTTCCTCCCTTCCTTCCCTCCCTCCCTCCCTCCCTCCCTCCCTCCCTCCCTCCCTCCCTCCCTCCCTCCCTCCCTCCCTCCCTCCCTCCCTCCCTCCCTCCCTCAGTCACTCACTCCCTCCCTCCCTCCCTCAGCCACTCACTCACTCCCTCCCTCACTCCCTCACTCACTCCCTTCCTCCCTCACTCCCTCCCTCACTCCCTCCCTCAGCCACTCACTCCCTCACTCACTCACTCATTCAGTCACTCATTCACCCACTCACTCACTCACTCAGTCACTCACTGATTCATTCATTCACTTAGTCACTCAGTCACTCATTCACTTAGTCACTCACTCATTCAGTCACTCACTCATTCAGTCACTCGTTCAGTCACTCACTCATTCAGTCATTCAGTCACTCACTCAGTCACTCATTCACTCACTCACTCATGGTCACTCACCCACTCACTCATGGTCACTCACCCACTCACTCATTCATCCACTCAGTCACTCATTCATCCACTCAGTCACCCATTCACTCACTCACTCACTCACTCACTCAGTCACTCACTCATTCACTTACCCCCTCCCTCAGTCAATAAGCAGGGTACCTGCCCTGGAGGCTGTAAAGATTACAACCAGATATGAGTCTGGTGCTCAGGAGGGCAGAGTGGAACACGGAAGCAGACAAGGTGGAGCCAACCCCATGTGAAAGAAAGCAGCAAGGAAGCGGGGCATAGAGGAACTCCAGAAATAAAGTGCCAGAGGGGCTTCCAGAGTGGCATCCTGTCAACCTCCACTCAACGCTTTATCTCAGGACTTACTGGGGCTTGTCTCTGTCTCTGAGCACCACAAGAGCAGGGACTGGTGGCCCAGCATCTCAAGCAGTGGGCCAGTGCCACGCCCAGATGTTCCGTGAACATTTATGAGTAAATGAACAAATGCACGATGAAGAGCCTGAATGGCCGAGGCGAGGGGCAGCAGGGGCAAGAGCAAGTCTGGGAGACAGCAAGGCCCCCCAAGGCAAGAGCTGGATAGGAGCAGCCAGGTCTGGGTAAGGGGCTGGACTCATTCTGGAGGTGGTGGCAGGGGTGGGGGTGTCACTACAAGCTTTCATCAGGGGTTCAAAATCAGAAGGAATGTGATTTAGAAGATCCTGCTTAGGACTATGAAGAGTGGATAGGAACCTACTGGTGCTGGGAATGGCAGTGACCTAGGAGATTGCAGAAACAGTCCTGGCAAGAAACAGAGACTGCAGGATGAGAGGAGAGGAAGGGGTGGCAAAGGCTGTGGTGGCAGCCGACCCTGGGCAGGCCCAAGCAGACGGGCACCAAAGGGGGGCCAGTCAGAGATGATGGAGATGCAGCGGAAAATGCTGGGAGACAGAAAAGGAGGGAGGAGTGCTTCCACTCCCAGCATCAGGAACAAGACAGACAAGAATGCCTGCTCCCACCACTCCAATTCAATGCGACCCCAGTCTACCGGTGCCCCACAGAATGGCTTTCAGAATCCTATGTCCTCATCTATGAGGGAGAAAGGGCAACTTGAACATTTATAGCAGCATTACTCACAACAGCCCAAAAGTAGGAACCACCCAAATGTCCATCAGCTGATGAACAGATAAATAACATGGCCTGTCCACACAATGGAATCTTATTCAGTAAAAAAGAGAAATAAGGTATTGATTTAGGCTACGACATGGATGAACCATGAAAACATGAAGCCACATGAAAGAGGCTGGCCATGAAAAACCACACACTGTCTAATTTCATTCACACAAGATGCCCAGAGTGGACAAGCCTTGAGACAGAAAGGAGAACGGGTGCCCAGAGCAGGGGGACTGCGGACAAATGGGGAGTGGCTGCTGATGGGTAATGAGAGGATTCTTAAACTGATGTGGTGACAGCTCAGAACCTTATGAATATACAAAAATCACTGAGCAAATCTTATGGTATGTGAATTATATCTCAATAAAACTGTTATTTTTAAACTGGGCAAAAGGCTTAAATAGACATTTCACCAAGCAAGACATAAGCACACAAAAAGATGTTCACCGCCATCAGTCAATAGGCAAATACAAATTAAAACTATGCTAAGACATCACCACACTCCCACTAAATGGTTATGCTAAAAAAAAAGCCGAGGCCAAGTGCTGGTGAGAATCCCAGAACCTGGACCCTCAGACGTTACCGATAGAGACATAAAATGCACAGCCTCCTCGAACAACAGTTCAGCAGTTTCTTAAAAAGTTGACCGTAACTACCACATGACCCAGCAATCCACACCAAGGCATATGTGTAAGAGAACTGAGGACATATATCCTCACTAAGACTGACACGCACATGTTCACAGCAACCTTATTCAAAATGGCCAAAAAAACTGGACCCAATCCAAATGTCTCTAGGCGGGGGAATGGAATGCTATGCAGCACTGAAAAGAGTGAAATGGGTTAACCTCAAAGACGCTATGCTCAGTGAAAGGAGCCTAACTCCCAAGCTCACACACTGTATTACCTCACTTTTGAGAAATGCCAGGAGGAGACACACGCTGGAGACAGAAACGAGACCAGTGGCTGTCGGACCTGGGGAATGGGTGTGCTGACTATTAACAGGCTCCTGGGAATTTGGGAGGTAAATGTTCTCTTTTCATTTCTTTTCAATTTTTTTTTAGAGACAAGCTCTCACTGTCAGCCATGCTGTAGTGCTCTGGCACAAGCACAGCTCACTGCAGCCTCTAACTCCTGGGCTCAGGCGATCCTCCCACCTCACCCAGACCAGCCTTCTGGGACTACAGGCACATGCTACCACACTCGGCTAACTGTTTTATTTTTACGGAGACGGGGTCTCTCTATGTTGCCCAGATTGGTTTTGAACTCCTGGGCCCAAACGATCCTCCCACCTTGGCTTTCCAAAGCTCTGAGATTATAGGCATGTGCCACCATGCCTGGCCTGGAAATGTTCTAAAATGAGACTGGTTATGGTTAACTCCATACATTTACTTTAAAAAATCACTGAACTGCGTACTTGAAATGCATTAATTTTGTGGTATGTCAATGATATCTCAATAAAGCTGTTATTTAAAAAAAGACTGGCAGGAAAGATGAACGATGACAGCTCCACTTTGGGTGAGTCAAGTTTGAAGGGCCTGTGTCAAGGAAAGGCTGGTAGCTGGACATAAGATTTGAATCCAAAATAGTAAAGAGTGAAAGCTGACTCTGATGGTCACTGACTCACTCATGGGAAAGAACCTGATTACCAGAGAGGATGCAGTCGGGGGAAGAGAGGGACATGGGGAGAGGGACACAGAGCAGCGCAAGGAAAGGATCAAGACTGACAAGGAGCAGCCAGGAAAAGGAGGGGAAAGCAGCCTCCCCAGCACAGGCTGAAGTCCCAGGTCACAAGGACAAGCGGCTGGAACAGATGAAGCCTGCAGGGAGACCACGGGAGTAAAAGGTTGCTGGCAGAAGCAGTTTCAGGGCCTGGAAGCCCAAGTGCAGCAGGAAGCTGTGGACGGGAAGTGAAGACAGGAGTGTGGTGAAGAGCAAAGGACACGCTCTGCTCCTAGGAACCCCAAGAGAGCTGCTGTGTCCTGACATGAAGGAGCAGAGATGAGGCTGAGCTAACAGCAGTGCAGTCAGGTGCAGTGGCTCATGCCTGTAATTCCAGCACTTGGGAGGCGGAGGCTGACAGATCGCTTGAGCTCAGGAATTCAAGACCAAAAAGTACAAAAATTAGCTGGGCGTAATGGCACATGCCTATAGTTCCAACTACTCAGGAGAGGCGGGAGGATCGCTTGAGGCTAGAAGTTCGAGGCTGCAGTTAGCTGAGATCACACCGCTGCACTCTAGCATGGGCGACAATGTGAAACACTGTTTAAAAAAAAAGAGCAGTGCAACCATGTGCTCAATGGGCAGCTCCATGAAAGCCTCACCACACTCTTGATGGTGGGAGCTTCTAGGAGATAAGTTACAAGGAAAACCCACAGTGAGACCCCAGGAACAAGGCGTGGACTGGGCTACTGCAACATATGCTGCCCACCCTAACACAGCCCAACACGGCCAGGAGGTTCCTGCTACTCACCTTTCTACCCTTCAGGTCCTCATTTGTTAATAATTCTGGCCGTTTCTCTATGATGTTAATTTTATCTTCCAAGTGGTTAGCCTTGAAGATCTTAGAAAGAAAACCATAGAATTACTGTATTCATACTATTGTTTTTGTCAGGAAAAAAAAATCTCTCAAAGTTGCACTCTCTGCTTTGAATTTTCTGGCCAAATCGTTCTGGAGCACCACTTTCAACTGCTTTGTGGAAATTCTCTCCTTGAGGCATCGTATAGACCATGGATGAGATCAGGAGCAGAATGGGTTAAAAGCAAAAGAAATTTCTCCTGTGGGCACACACCAGGACTCAGTGTGGGCCTACGGTTCTGGTGAAAGGGGTTCCCCTTTGGATAGGAAATCAAACCAGTTACTGGCCAGGGAGAGAAATCCCATCTCCCATCAGGCTGTGAGCACTGACTCCCTGAGCACTGATGTCCCAGAAACACATTCTACATTCAGTTCCACCATGACAGAAATCTGTTTTCGTAGCTCTATGTGAAGTGAGGAGAAAAGCGTAAACTTCTTCAGACACAAAAAAACAAAGCAAGGCTGGGCGCAGTGACTCATGCCTATAATCCCAGAACTTTTGAGGCCAAGGTGGATGGATCAACTGAGGTCAGGAGTTTCAGAGCAGCCTGGCCAACATGGTGAAATCCCATCTCTACTAAACATGTAAAAATTAACCAGGCGTGGTGTCACATTCCTGTAATCCCAGCCACTCAGGGGGCTGAGACAGGAGAATCCCTTGAACCTGGGAGGTGGAGGTCGCAGTGAGAGGAGATGGAGCCACTGCACTCCAGTCAGCAACGGAGAGACACCGCAAACACTTGCCTCTATTTCAGTGACAGCCACCCCGCCAGGCCTCCAGCTGCTCTCCAGGCAGCAGCCAAGACGACACAGAGGCAGGGGCTTTCACACCATGCTGCCACTACTCCTCCGTTAGCCACTTCAAAGCCATCAACCCAGACTCAGAAGGCCAGCCCCACAGGTCCTCTTGCTATTTCAGCAACAATTCTCACTTACTTTTCTCATCAGCTTGTGAGAAGCTGCTGAGCTCTCAATTGTAAATACCTAAAGGGAACACCATGCTATTAGTTGTAAGATATTCATTTAACAAAGAAAAATTTAAAGATTAAAATCTGATAAAACCATCCCAAGGCAGAAGCAGCACCTGAACAACCCTCCCAGCACTCATAACCCTGGGCTTATTCCCCCACTGCGCTCATCCCCACCCGGTGCTCATGCCCCCCTGCGCTCCTCCCCACCTCCCCGCTCATTCCCTCCGCCCCGCAATCATTCCTCCCCTCCCCCACCTTGCTCATTCCTCCCCTCCCCCCGCACTCATTCACCCCCCACACCCCCTCATTCCCCCTCTGCGCTCATTCCTCCCCTGCGCTCATCCCCCTTCTGTGCTCATTCCCCCCGACCCGCGCTCATTCCCCCTACTGCGCTCACTCCCTCCCTGCGCTCATTCCCCCCACTGCGCTCATCCCCCTTCTGCGCTCATTCCCCACCCCCATCGCTCATTCCCTCCCTGAGGCAGCCTGAGCCCCAGCTCCACCACAGGAACTCCGGCCTGATGCTGCCTGCACACACAGGTAATAAAGCCCCCAGTCCCTGACCTGAGCATGCTACGCCGTTAACAGTGGCCCTTACAAAGAGCCTTGATCACAGAATTGTGCACCCAGACCACACAACGCCCTAACTCATGAGCCCACCTCAGGATGCTGACAAGAGTGCACGTCAGTACCTGCTCTGCCCCGAGGTGATGGGCCAGCATGGACATCAGGCTGCCATCACTGACACACAGGCACACGCTGTCTGGTTTCAGCACCTGTGGGGAATGGGCAACCTCAGCAAAGGGCTTCCTCCAGTTTGCCGTAAGATTCCTGCTGGCAAGCTGTCAGAAATGCTTCCCTTCTCATCCCACTTGCCCAGACCTTGGACCATCCCCCGCGTCCCCGTGCAGTAACCACCCCCAGCCTCAAACACACCTGCCTTGCTCATGTCTCCCCACCTGTCCCCACTGTCAGAAAAGGCACTCCTCAACCCAGCCTAGAGGCCCTGCAGAAGACCTGTCCCACCTGCAGGAGGCCACCTCCCAGTCCCTGACAACAGGCTTCTTCCCTGTCTGGAGACAGCACAGACAGCTGAGGGTCTCCAAGGCTGTGTTCACAAGGGATGCCTTTCTGGGTGACAGACCCCTTTGAGAGAAACTCAGGATGGCTTGGATCCTCCCCTGCCCCCCTCAAAAATGCACACATGCACACTTATTTCTGCACAAGGGCCTCAAGAGACCCTCCAAGCCCCATCTGTAATCTCCAGGCTGAGTGCCCTGCTATAGGCAGCATGGAGCACAGGTTTTCAGGCAGGAGAGTGACATAATCAGATTTACATTTTAGAAAATTTTAGAAAGGCAGCAACACATGGAAGAGGAGAAGGGTGGCTGAATCCACTGTGACCAGCTACAGAAGTGACTGTGTCTAACAAGGCAAAGGCGTCCAGCAGGAGCCCAGCTAGAGGCTCTCCCTGGAGAGGAGAGAGCAAGCCCTCAGGAAGTCCAGCCCCAGGCTCTCCAGCTTTCTGCTCCAGTGCCCACCCAGAAGGCGCTCGCTGAAGCCACTCATAGCCAAGAGGACACAGAAAAGAAAATTAGCAAATTGTAAGCGGAGTGCTGCAGCCCCTGGGACAAACTCCTTTTTCCCCTTTTCCCCACAAACAGCCAAGGGGCTGAACACTTACAGTCCTCAGGGCCTGGACATATCGATCAGTTCTGTCCTGATCATTGATCTCTCCAAACCGCGGCCGGTTCCAGAGCAGGTGAGCCTGGCAGTCGCACACGGGACGCATCTCGCGGACCCTCTCATTGTTTTCAGGGCTAGGTCAGGAGATGAACAAACAGACGTGGGCAGTGAGCACCTCCACAGGCCTCTAGAGGGCATGAATCTGGACACTGGTGTCCAGTAGGCATCAGAGGTTAGAGCACCCACTAATTCCAGGCTTTTCATATGCATCTGCCCCAAACAGATTTCAACAACCTCTCCTGAGTACACACAAATGGGCACTGACACATCTGGTCACAAATCTTTGCTCTTATTTTATTCTGTCCAGACACAAATCAACCCACTGGTGCCTCCAGAGGGTCTGTAAATGGGGAATTTACATACACGCAGTCTCAGAGGCTCATCCTCCACCCCCACAAGGCTAGTGTACCTGGTCCTCTGCAGGCTGTACCATATGCAGTAGTCATCATGGTGGGCTACCAGGCAGAGCGCTGAGCCCTGCACCACAGGCTCCTCTTGTGGCAGGAAGTATACACACTGCATCCAGTGGTCCCGCCACTGAAATGGGGAACAGAGTCAGCTGTCAACAAGCTGCTGTATGAGCAATGCTTCAAATCCAGGAGCCAAATGCCAGAACTACCAGTTTTCAGGAAGTCCAAAATGTAGACTGCAGCTGGCTATTGTGGCCAAGGAGATAAAGAAACAAACTCTAAAATCAGAGGCCAGTGGCCCAAAAGCCTGTGGGAACCCTGCTGGCTTTAGGAAGACACAATGTGGCCAAGGGCAGCGATCTGCCACAGTGGCTCAGGGGAGGGGACAAGTGCAGGCTCCAGTCCCCATTCCATCAGAGTAGCACCAAAGCTGTCTTCAACACATAGGGCTGTGCTGAATGTTTCATTTTAAGACAAAATACAATGGTTTAAACCTAGTGGTTTGGAGGGAACATTTTCAGAATAGTCCCATGGCACGCATTCCAAAGGCTTTAACACACTTGGAATTTACAAAATAGTCAAATGCAATGCTCTAAACCTAAATGGATCATAGATTGAGGAAACAAATGCTATCAAGGACTTTTGGAGACAAATTTTATTTTGAACCACATGTTAGATGATAGTATGGAACCTCTGTTTTTCTTAGGTGTGATCATGTGTTTCGTTTATGTTGCAGACTGTTTTCATTCTTGGGAGATAAGTGTTGAGGTATTTAAAAGTAAAGTGTCAGGCCAGGTGTGTTGGCTAACACCTGTAATCCAGCACATTGGGAGGCTGAGGCAGGCGGATCACCTGAGGTCGGGAGTTCAAGACCAGCCTCACCAACATGGAGAAACCCTGTCTCTATTAAAAATACAAAAATTAGCCAGGCATGGTGGCACATGTCTGTAATCCCAGCTACTTGGGAGGTTGAGACAAGAGAATCGCTTGAACCTGGGAGGTAGAGGTTGTGGTGAGCCAAGATCGCCCCACTGCACTGGACAACAAGAGCAAAATTTGCCTCAAAAAAAAAAAAGGAAAAGTGTCAGATTTCTGCAACTTACTTTAAATGATTTAGCAAAAAACCGCACACATGCGGGTGTGTTTGTAGAGACAACATGCAGGGATGCAGGGAGAGAGGCAGGAAGACAAAGACAAAGCAGGTGTGGCAAATGTTAACCAGTGGTCAATTTAAATAAAGGGACCATCAGCGTTCATTTTCACTCATTCTATGGATTGATAATTTCTCAAAATAAAAAGTTGGGAAAATACAAAAAGGTTTTAACTTACTCTTTGAATTAAATTGAAGTATTTAAATAACTAAATGTTCTCAATTGTGAAACATGGTTGACAATGATCCAGAGTCAACTTTTAATAAGCTGTGCTAGTCCTTACTACAAACCCCACGTACAGTACTCTATCCTAAGAAAACCCAAACAAAAAACCAAAGAAAAGAGTTATATTCACATAAAGATGCAAATCACAGAATTATTTATATCAGCAAAAACTGGAACCCACCCAACTGGCCAGCGCTCAGAGCAGGATATAAACCCTCGTGCAGAATACGAGCAGACATCTGAAACACTGCTGATGAAGGCTACGGGGACCCGAACAGAGATGGGCACTGACAACACCCGTGCGTTTGGAAAAAGACCAAAGAAACTGAGTTATTTTGGGTGGGAGGGAGGACCATGAGTGATTTTTTTGTTTTATATAATGAGGTTTATTTCTCTCATGATTGTTAAGCTTATTTTTGAAAAAGGAAGAAATGTCCTAAAAAATAGATGCCAGCTGGATGCAGTGGCTCATGCCTGTAATCCCAACCACTTGGGAGGCCAAGGCTGGTGAATCGCTTGAGGCCAGGAGTACGAGACCAGCCTGAGTAACACAGCAGTGACCCCCATCTCTACAAAAACACAAAATTAGCCAGGCATGGTGGCACATGCCTGTAGTCCCAGCTACTCAGGAGGCTGAGGCAGGAGGGTCTCTGTACCCAGGAGTTCACAGCTGCAGTGAGCTAAGAGGTGCCACTGCACTCCAGACTGAGCAATAGAGCAAGAACCTGATTCTAACAAACAAAAACAGGAGATGCCTGGCTCAACTCTGATGAGACAACTGCCTGCTCATTGTCACCTTTGGGAACTAAGAAAAACTTGGCACTGTGGGACTCCAAGAGCACAGGTGAAGAATGTGCCCACCCACCTGGTCTTGCATTCAACAAAAAGGCAGGAGAATGACACTCCCACACACTTAAGATGCCTACTTGAAGTAAAAACTAGAAAATAAAAATCTGGGCTGGGCGCGGTGGCTTACACCTATAATCCCAGCACTTTGGGAGGCCGAGGTGGGTGGATCACGAGGTCAAGAGATCAAGACCATCCTGGTCAACAAGGTGAAATCCCATCTCTACTAAAAATACAAAAATTAGCTGGGCATGGTGGTGCACATCTGTAGTTCCAGCTACTTGGGAGGCTGAGGCAGGAGAATTGCTTGAACCCAGGAGGCGGAGGTTGCGGTGAGCCGAGATCATGCCACTGCACTCTAGTCTGGGTAACAACAGCGAAACTCCATCTCAAAAAAAAAAAAAAAGAAAAAGAAAATAAAAATCTGACCAGATATGTTCTAGAAAAAATAAACAGTAACAGGAATGATAAAACAGTTTCTTTTAAATCTGTTATTCATTCCCACACTGTGCAAATGTATCTGGAGTAGACCAGAGAAGCTAGAGAAGCCTTTCCTGACCCCTCCTAGGCTCCCACAGCACTGCCCTATCATCGTGTCCTTCACATGATCCCACCACAGGACCTCCTGGGTCGTAACGATGAAGAGCTGGTGACAGAACCCACTGTGCCACGATGGGGCAGGCTAAACATATTTCGAATCAAAGCAGTTTCACAAATTCATGAGGGAGATTCATTAGCAGATTTCAAATTTCTAATCCAAAAGTCAGTGCTGGTAGAGAAAGGACACAAGACCTACAGTCAGGAGACCTGGGGCAGGACCCACTCCACTGCTCCTGGACACAGGCCCTGCTCCAATCCCTGAAGCCTGCTGAATCCCAGGTTGGCTATGGTTGTGGTTATCCAGTTTGTCTAGTAAGAGAATTCAAGAAGAAAAATATACATAGTAGTGCTCTGAAAATATGCAAATTAAAAGTACTTTTTTTTTTTTTTTGAGATGGAGTTTCGCTCAATGGCACGGTCAATGGCAATCTTCCCCTCCCGGGTACAAGTGGTTCTCCTGCCTCAGCCTCCCAAGTAGCTGGGATTACAGGCACCCACCAGCATGTCTGGCTAAATTTTGTATTTTTAGTAGAGACAGGGTTTCACTATGTTGGCTAGGCTGGTCTCGAACTCCTGACCTCCAGTGATCCACCCACCCTGGCCTCCCAAAATGCTGGGATTATAGGAGTGAGCCACCACACCGCAAGTACTAACATTTTAATGCTATTCTTATGCTAATTCTGCAACACAGTCTTAGGAAGAATGCAGCGCAGTGCCAATCTCAACTCTGTGCGTGAATTCAGAGTGACACACACACAGCCTACAGAGGAAAGCTGGCACACACTGGCTGGACACGCATCCACCTGGGGCCGGGTACCTGGAAGGTGGAGGGGAGACTAAGAAGCTCAGGTGCTTCTTAGTTTCACATGCTGCTGTCGTTATACTGACTGACAACAATCCCCCAGCAGTCACAACCCTTCAGATTAAACAGTTACTCTGGGAATGGGGTAGGGAAAGCTGCTAAGGCCTTCCAGGAAGTAAATGTTGTGGACACCTAGAAGCAGGTGAGCATCAAAACAAAGCCAGCAGTTAAGGCCAGGCAGGCTGGCCAAGGATGATGCCTAAGGCTCTCCTGGGTAGAGATAGGTTCTATTTCTTGGCTCTGAAACCAAAACTGCCTTTGCAAAAAACAGTGAGAGAATTATGACAGTGAAAGATATCTCATCTAATCAACCCCCATCTTACTTTATAATCTCAAACTGCCTTGATCATTCCTGGGTTTGGGCCAAGCTAACTTTGAGAGACATTTGGTTAATATTTTATTTTATTTTTTGAGACGGAGTCTTGCTCTGCCACCCAGATTTGAGTACAGTGGCATGATCTCAGCTCACTGCAACCTCCACCTCCTGGGTTCAAGCAATTCTCCTGCCTCAGCTTCCAAGTAGCTGGGATTACAGGCATGTATCACCACACCTGGCTAATTTTTGTATTTTTAGAAGCAGGGTTTCTCCACGTTGGCCAGGCTGGTCTTGAACTCCTGATCTCAAATGATCCACCCACCTGGACCTCCCAAAGTGCTAGGATTATAAGCGTGAACCACCGAGCCCAGCCAGTTAATAGTTTAAGTGAAAACTGCCCTTCGCCAAAATTAAACTTAATGAAAGATCATCTGTTTAGGAGGATGAGAGGAGGCTAAATTCTGCTAAGGTGAAGCCATTATTCTGGAGGTCACAAGATTTGCAGCCTTCCCTGATTCTATCTGCAGATAACACCACTGTTACAGAACCTAAGACTGACACTTTGAAGTGTCTTTTTGGATTTTTACATTTCTACATTTCTGTCTGATGACTCTACCCAGAAGTGGACTCCTTGGCCTGCCAAACTATCCTAGAAAAACCCTAGCCTGGACCAGGCGTGGTGGCTGATCCCTGTAATCTCAGCACTTTGGGAGGCCAAGGCATGAGTGTAACCTGAGGTCGGGAGTTCAAGATCAGCCTCACCAACATGGAGAAACCCCGTCTCTACTAAAACTACAAAAATCAGCCGGGTGTGGTGACACATGTCGGTAATCCCGGCTACTCAGGAGGCTGAGATAGGAGAATCGCTTGAATCTGGGAGGTGGAAGTTGTGGTGAGCTGAGATCATGCCATTGCTCTCCAGCCTGGGCAACAAGAGCTAAACTCCATCTCAAAAACACAAAACAAAACAAACAAAAACCCTAGCCTGTGAACTTTCAGAGAGACTGATCTGAGTAATAACTGTCTTTCTTGCAATGCCATGGTCTCAGCGAACTGGTTTTGTCTGGACAGTGGGCAATTACCCACCAGGCAATTATGAAACACCTTTCCCACTTTCTTTTCCTTTGAGTGTGAGAGTAAGGGAGGGTGGATGGGAGTGTAAATAACAAAAGCATATGAGAGAAAATTCAAAAGTTATACAAGAAAGTGTACTGAGAAATAAGTTTCCTTTCCACCCCTAACCCCTAGCCCCCATTCCCAGATGCAGTGTTTTACCAATTTCTGGGAATTCTTCCAAAGACATCCTTACACGTATACCACACAAGACTATCCACTCATAAACACATATATTCCTTTTTTTTTTTTTTTTTTAGATGGAGTCTCACTCCGTCCCCAGGCTGGAGTGTACTGGTGTGATATTGGCTCACTGCAACCTGTAACTCCTGGGTTCAAGTCATTCTCCTGCCTCAGCCTCCCGAGTAGCTGAGACTACCTACAGGCATGTGCCACCACACCCAGCTAATTTTGGTGTTTTTGGTAGAGACGGGATTTCACCATGTTGGCCAGGATGGTCTCAATCTCTTGACCTCATGATCCGCCCTCCTCGGCCTCCCAAAGTGCTGGGATTACAGGCGTGAGCCATCGTGCCCGGCTATTCCTATTTTTACTAATACCAATGCTGGCACATTACACACCACTCTGCACCTTTATTTTTGTTTCAGGTAATAATCCACCCTGAAGCTTGTCCCATATCAGTGCAAACAGCTACCTCACCCACTGAGAAGGATAACGGACTTAATCCCTACTAGTGGCCTTTAGGTTGGCCTTTTTCTACTAAATCAGGGCTGCACACATTCATTCTACACAGACTCAAATCCAACCTCAGCCCCACGTCTGGCAGCAGCATTGCTTTCTACCTGAGACATTCTGACAACTCACTTTCCTGCTCTTTCCCTGAGCTTTACCAACAGTGTGCTTGCAAACTGTTTAAACTTTATTCAGTAATAGGCGAAAATGATTATCTCCTTGCAGTTTAAAGTTGCATTTCTCTCTCTTTTTTCTTTTTAGAGACAGGGTCTAACCCTATTGCCCAGGCTGAAGTGCAGTGGTGCAATCATGACTCGCTGCAGCCTCGACCTCCTGGGTTCAAGCAATTTTCCTGCCTCAGCCTCCTGAGAGGATGGGACTACAGGTGCTATGCACAGCTAATACTGTATTTCTCTTCTCGTGAGGAAGAGTGGGCAACTATCCCCTGTCATCTGTATTTCCTTTTCTGTCTTTCATGTCCTCTGCCTACTTTCTATCGGGGCAAAATCTTCCAGAAGGGAGATTTTGAGGCCACAGAAGGTGAGACTGTAATTCTCTATTCCAAGCTGATGGGAGCTCCCTGGGATAACTCAGGGGATGAGGGGTGATATCTAAGGGTGGCTGCATCATGATGAAGGGGAGAGGAAAGCTAACTTGCCAAAGCTTCTCTGTTGTTCACTGTGTCCACAGGTGCTGACCATGAGCTCACCCTGGGAGGGCTACCTTACTATAGCTAGCCTTTGCTTGCTTTTTAAAAACTCTTCTTTGCCTTTGATTCTGACACAGCCCTCCTGTTTCTAAATTCTCCTGGGTCTAAGGTCCAACTGCTATATTCCCATGAACAGCAGTGGACAAGTTTCCTGACTCACAGAGCACATGCTCAGCTCCTACCTCTTACCTGCATCTCCTCTGGGTCTGAGTGTGCCCAAAAGGGGGCCATGGTGCACTTGATCTTCCCCTCAGGGTCCATTTCAATGTCCCACCACGAGAGAACCACCTGAGCTCGGCCAGATGCCAGAGGTTCAAACTGCCTGCTATGGCAGGCTGCTGAGCTACTGACTTGCTTGCTGAAGTCCACACTGAGGAATAATATTCAAGAATGTAAGCAGAGTTTAACCTCACACACTCCATTTTTTAAGCTTTTACAGTGACTTCGCTGGTAATGACATTTGGCTGCAAAGGACTCTTGCCTTCTGAGGCAGGCGACAGCAGCTAGGTTTTCTTCCCACTTAAAAAGAACCTCCAAAGGCCCAACTTCCATCAAATGTCTCAAAGCACCATCAACTATGGGGGCTCCTTGGTACCTGAAAATGGGCAGCACATCACTGAGGACTGTGAATTCGGCTGGTGACACCTGGTTCAGTTGAATATCACAGACAGAGGGTGCTCCAGGGCACCTCTCCAGGTCCACGGGAGGGACGATGACCTGCTCTCCGAGGCTGGTCTGCACACGGATGGGAAACAGTTTGTTCCATGACCACATCCTCCTAGACTCCACCAGCTGTGCATAGACGGTAGCTCTGTGTGGCACGGCCTCACAGTTTTCCTAAGTTTATATTAAAAAACAAAACCAAACAAAAATCAGGTGCTTAGACCCACAGTAATTCCCAGCAATCAAAAGATGTTTATTTTTCAATAGTAGGTTGGTTCAGTAATGGCCAATACCTTCTACTATTAGAAGAGTGAACTGTTTTCAGTCCTATGCCCTTGGAAAAGGGGGAAAAAAAGGTGTGAGATTTCAAAAAGAATACACACTGTGCCTAATGACTTATGTCAGCTAAGATCCTGGCTACCTGGCACTCTTAAATGCTTCAAGTCCTGCTGCTGGGTGGTGATCCTGGCTCTGGGCTCAGTGTCCCTTCAGTGCCGCTCTTGCCTGGCACCAGAACGAGAGCCTCCTTGTGGCAAAGCCCCATGGACCACGGTGCCCCCTCAGCTGCCCAGCCCTCTGGCACCACTGAGCACCGCTGCACACTCAGCCCCCACAGCTGCAGCTCTGGCTCCTTGTCCAGTTTTCCTCCTACCTCATGCATTTGCTACATGTCCTCCATGCGTCAGGCACTAGGGGACCCAGCAGTGAACTACATGGCTTTCGGCACCACTGGCCTCTTGGGCCAAATGATTCTCTGTGGTGGAGGTTGCTCCAGGCATGGTAAAAGGTTAGTAGCATCCCTGGCCTCCCCACGAAGTGTCTCCCAACCTTGCTCTGGTAGAGAAGCACCACTCTAACTGGACTTGCTCCTGCCTCCTTGACCAGGCTATGCTTCCTATGCCCCGCCTCACAAGGGGGCACCCTGGTCTGAACCACCTTTCTTCTTCCTCCACATTCTCCAGAGTGACCTCAACCATGCCCTCTTCATTGACTAAACCCAAGCACCTCTGGGCCTCTTGGGCCTCTCTACTTGGCTGATGTTCAGAGAGCTCAAACTCAGTGTCTAAATCAGATGAATCACCCTCACCAACCTTCCCAGGGATGCCCCTCCTCCTATGCTTCCAGTCCGCAGGAAGCACCATGATCCAATCCGGGTGCCCAAACCCTGGCATCATCCTCCGATACCTCTACACCTAAGAGACCACCAACTCCCGGGACCACCTCTCAGGCCCATGTCTAAAGCCTTGGCTGAAGTCCACTGCACCTCAGCGTCTGGACAACTCCACAACCTTTTAACCCACCCACAACCTCCAGTCCTACATCCCAAATGCCCTCCACATGCCTGCCTGCATAAATCTGCCATCAATCCTCTGCTTCAAACCCTGCTGTGATGCCACCCCACCTAAATGACAGCTACCCACTGGGCATAGCCCCCAGACCCCCCTCCATCTAGTCCCTGCCCAGCTCTCTAGCCTTAGTGGCTAAGCCCACCCTCCTGCCTCCCACACAGCACAAAATCGAAAGCACCCGCAGACTCCAGAGCCACTGCACCAATTCAGTTTCATGTCTAGCACATGCTGCTCTCCTCTACCAGAAATATTCCATCTGCCAGGCCAACACCTGATCACTTCTCAAGACTGACAGCTCAAGCATCACATTCCTGAGAATATTGCTGAACTGAACTTGAAAACAGTTTCTTGCTTTTCAACTCTAACCTATTAAGACTTGGCATTTAAGGGACACAAAAGTCACAACTGAGGAGAACCAGAGCCCCCCAAGAATGGAGGGGTGTGCCAGGTACACGACAGGTGCTGAGGGCTTGGGCTGTGTGGAGTATGGTGCATGAGTGAGTGCTGTGTGAGCTGGCTGAGAGCACAGACGTGCCCAAGGGAGCCCTCCGTGCATTACCTCCACGAGATGCCTGTGTGCGTGCTCATAGGAGGGCAGCGCTCCCTCCCCAATCAGCTCTGTGTCAAATAACTCTGTGACCAGGATGTTGGCACGGCATGGCATGTCACCCTCTGAAAAACATAAGAAAACAGAGTTAGACATAAGCAACAGACTAGGAAAAATACTTACAGCAAATATGGGAAAGGTAAGTTGTTAAAAGGCCATCACACTAAAAGCACATACACACGCTGAGGTATTCAGAAGTGTCAGGATGTCTGTGACTGACTCGCCAATGGTTCAGGGAAAAAAAAATCCATATGTAAATGTATGCCAAAACGCTAACTGCTAAATCTAGGGTAAGGGAATAAGAGTGTTTACTGTACCACTCTTTCAACTTTTCCATATGTTTAATATTGGGAGGGAGACCTGGAAAAAATGATAAGAAAACTATAAATACCCAATGGATTGCTTGAGCTCGGGAGTTCGAGATCAGCCTGGGCAACGTGACAAAATCCCATTTCTACAAAAAATACAAAAATCAGCTAGACATGGTGGCTCATGCCTATAATCCCAGCACTTTAGGAGGTCAAGGCGGGAGGATCACTTGAGGCCAGGAGTCCAAGACCAGCCTGGCCATCATGGCAAAACCCCATCTCTACCAAAAATACAAAAATTAGACAGGTGTGGTGGTACACACCTGTAATCCCAGCTACCCAGGAGGCTGAGGAATGAGAAACACTTGAACCTGGAAGGCAGGGGTGAAGTGAGCCAAGATCACACCATATACTCCAGCCTGGGTGACACCGCGAGACTCTCGTCTCCAAAAAAAAAAAAAAAAAAATTAGCCAGGCATGGAGGTATGCACTTGTAGTCCCAGCTACTTGAGGGGCTGAGTTGGGAAGATCACTTGTGCCTGGAAGATCAAGGCTGCAGTGAGCCAAGATTGTGCCACTGCACTCCAGTGTGGGCAACAGAGTGAAACTCTGTCTCAAAACAAAAACAAAAAACTATACGCACCAAAAAAGAAATCAGGTAAAAATATAAACACACAATTCAAAACAGAAATCAAACATGGAAATCTTTTCATCTGTATTAGCAATTAGAGAGAGATAAGTTAACAATTAAACTATTAACCACCAAATTAGAAAAATTATTTGAAAACCAAAAACCGAATGCTGGTACTTCAAACACTTCTAGGTTTCAGGGAGAGGGAGGGAAAGCCAAAGCAAGAGAGCAAGGCTCTCTGGTGATCTTCCAGCTACCGTGAGCTTGGCTTGAGCAGCCAAAATTGAGATCCATGACTTAGAATCCCCATATCACTATGGTAAATCCCCTTAATGAAGTTAGCTCCTTGTCACCAAATAATCTCTTAAATAACAGTTGTTTTAGGACAGTGGGATTTTAGAAGAGAATAGGGTTTGGGAGGGGTCTTCTGTTAACTGTTTTTTTAAGCCTCAGTAATGTACTGCTATGTCTATAATAATTTTTTTTTTTTTTTTTTGAGACGGAGTTTCGCTCTTACTACCCAGGCTGGAGTGCAATGGCGCGATCTCGGCTCACCGCAACCTCCGCCTCCTGGGTTCAGGCAATTCTCCTGCCTC